TAGATGGCTGCTGTCATGCGACCCTTCCTTCTCTCAGTGCAAAGTGTCTGATAGGTTTTCAACCAGTAAACATGTTGTTACAAATCTGGTCATCATTATTGTCTGTGCACTTTACTATGCAATGCAATAAATTGTTGCAATGCAATGCAAACTTGCAGCAAAGAAGACTTAAGAGAAATATTATGCAAAGATAGTTTGGCAAACAAACAGAAGGCCTATGGGTGGGGAATACCCTTCACTGATTTTTTTCTGAGTGTAATATTTAAACTTTTCTCAAATCAGAAGATGGAATAGATGACCTTTGGTCATTTTTACTTCTTCATGTCCATAGAGCTGTTATCTGACATTATGCCTCATGAGTGAAGGAAAGCTCAGCCTTGGTTTTGTGCTATTCCAAGTTGCACGATCCCAAACAATTCCTGACCATGGAAAAGTTCAGGGGTTGGCTCATGCTAGGGACAGCTATATACCAATAGGCAGTTTAGACTTAGCCTCCATCTTCTGGAGGCTGGAGATTTTAATAGTGTGTGCAGGGTTAGACATGTCAGCTGGCCTGAAGGCCAAAGAACAGGCTCTGCTACCATTTAATTTGTTTGTATTGATGTCACCCAAGAGTTTGTTTGACTTAGGGAGAAAGGTGTGCTTTCAAGAAGATCTGAAGCCACACCTAATTGTGTAGGCTGACACCATCCCTTGAAGTCAAAAGATCCACGGACATTAAAGCAACAACCCTTACACTTTTCTTCTTGAGACTGTTTCTGGAATCACATTTTCTCTTCTGCTTAAACTTCCAGGCTTACAATTCCAGGTCTGGAAATCATGGTTTTGCTTACTTCACAACTATACCTCTAACTAACCAGCCCAACATCTTTGTCTCAGATCAAAGGGAAGCAGTGTCACTGCTGGAATCCTGGCTCTGCATCATGGCAGCAAGGCCCATGTCTGAAGACATAGGTAGCTGAATCTAATCAAAATTTATTACCAATAAATGGAGATTTACATTACCACAAATTATGTCTTCCATTGAAAGCTTTACTATTAAAAATTTAATATGAACTGGAAGAGGAAATGCAATTGTCAATATATATTCCAAGTTCTTATCCAAGACACATGCCAAACAGCTTTGTCCAGTTGTCTAAAATCAGTTTCAACCAGTCCCATCAGTATTTCAGTCTTGTTCTGCAATGGTAGTGAAGATGCAACTGTAAGGAAGGGTGCTTCAAAATATCTGGCAAATTTTGATTTTATGGCTGGAGCTGCTGCAACACAGGTCCTTCCCACTAAACAAGCAGCAAGAGAAGGACCAGCCTAACTAATGAAATATTAGGAAATATTAGGAAATTATAGGAAATATTGGGAAATATTGACATGTGACTTTCTCAAGGCATAACCATATGCTAAAAATGGATATCAAGGAAACATACCACCAGATTATTATGTCAGCTCAGATCAGCATATGTGGGCTAGTTGATGAACACTTCAGAAATTGATTTCTCCAAATCTGTCTTTTGAAAAAGCATCAGGTTCTAATACATAAATACACAAGTTCACAGGTGGATATTAATTAAAATAACTCATAATATGACTCAGGTGAGTACTGGGAGCTGCAGTAGCCTGAACTTGAAATGGATTAAGATACTGAGAGTATCCACAAGGTGTAGTAAGCTCAAATATATAAGTAGTAAATTCTAGTCTATGCACAACCAAGGAGAGTGAGGAGCTGGATGGGGGAGCACAGGATCCAGTGATTCTCACTGGCAATTGATGCTCCTAAAATATTTGAGATGGATCGAGATTAGCATCTAAAAGGTAAGAGTAAATTAATGGTTAACTCAAAATTATTTCTCATTAATTCCACTTAATGCTCTGTCTCCACTTATTTTGCTAGAGCTTTTTATTTAAATGTAATGTATTTGAATAAATTACTTATGTGTCTTGTAGACTTCTCTGCCTCCCTTTATAGGCAACTGTTGGAGTTTTGTGCCAGTCATTTTAGCTGATCTTCTTTTCCAATGCATTATGCAGAGCAGCACAAGTTTTGCTTCTGCTCACTGAACGGCGAGCTATGCCTATTGCGACGTTCAATCAACTTAAAAGTCACTGGTGGAATACACATATGAACTTACACTTAACTCAGGAGATCAGGGTCATTTTCTCCCTTCTCTTTGCTAACCTTTCTAATCAAATACTACGTATTTAACTGGGAGAGGTGCTGACCTATGGATAAAAACTAAAGGAAACAGAACAATGGGGATTCAACAATATTTAACACTGTGTCTCAGCATGATGAGAACTCTAAGAGACACTAAGATACACAGTCAAAGGGTGTTTGACTGAGGGAGTGCGTTGTCTTTTCTGAAAGAAAAATATCTGAAGTTCCTTTTGGCCACCAGATAGCAGTACTTCACTTTGTACGGTTCTCAGCTCACAGCATTCCTTGCCTTGTCAAAAAATCCATATATTGGATCCTGGACTCTTGCTCAGATATATCTTTTGCAGAATTCATTATAGACTTCAGCTATTAAAAAAAAAAAAATTGGAATTAGGAATGCAGATGATTTATGTGTTCAGGAGGAATCAATATTGCAGCTTTCCTGAATGGGGAAAGTTGGTTCTATAAATCTAATGGAGCATTAGGCATTATAATTTCCAATGACAAAAGTTTCAATGAAAACCTTGGGCTTAAAATATTTTTAGCATTTCTCCCTTGCTGACAGTACATTTCCTTATTTATATTAGTATTTCAGGAATACTTCTAAAGGCAATTTTGGCCTCCAAACATAAACTTTACAGAGTTTTACTATTTCTGTAATTTATAATTTCTGCCAAATATTTTTAAACCTCGGTATTTTTCTTTATTTTTAAATAGAGGAACAGACTTTACAATATTTTTAGCAAAAAAGAAAGATACCCTAATTTTCACTGAACCTTGTTAAAACACCAGAAGTGCAATACACTGCATAATAATAATAATAATAATAATAATAATAATAATAGTTGGTTGTATCATGCTGTATTGGTTCATGTCACCTTACAAGAAGTGTGCATCATCCTCTTTTTTTACAGTTACAGACCTCAGGCAAGATGCCCAGGTAGGGAGAATGGGAGAATAACAGTCAGATGGCCTTTCCCATTCTCATCTGTCCTGGTGTTGACATTTAAGTGTCTCAGCTGCTGCTTCAACCTGGAACAGCCAGTTATGATCCCTATGGGATCATGCGACAGCTGTATCACTTCCTTTTCTCCCAAACAAGATGGGAGAGATAATAATGGCAACCATCTCTGTCAGATTTACACTAGAATATTCTTTGCTTTAGCTATTGCAGAGGTCTAACTGGATTCCCTTCATTTTTCATCTCCTTCAGGGAATCTGGTGTCAGAATCATGTGAGCCCTGACTTTATTGCTGTGATTCACATGACTTCTCTCACAGGGAATTTCACTTTTCTGTAGTGTTAGGCTTATCTACTGAATGAATAGGTGATTTTCCCCCCATTTGTGAGTCATTTAACTATGACAACCAAAACTAACTGTTGGCAAGGCAGAGTAGTGATAGAAATGTTTTCAGCTTTGTCACTCTGTCATTTTAAGGCCACCACAGTTCTCTTTTTTCTCTCCTTATATCTCCATAATCATGAAAACCCATCTTCTGGCATCCAGCCTTCAGCAGACAACCAGTGAATATTCAGAGACATACAACCATCAATTTGTTGACTGTTCCCATAGTTACTCTGTTGAGAGACTCTGCCTCTTATAGCTAAGGACTGGACTATGGCTGTGATCAGAATGAAGGAAATGTTGCTTCAGAAGTGCTTCAGACTTAGCAGAGCTCTCAAAAGCTCTTTTGTCCTGGTATAGAATAAGGATTGATACCTTGGGTGGTACAAAATGCCTTTATTTCTGGAAAAATAAATTTTCTATAGCTTTGTTGGGCATTCTGAAGGAATTAATGAAAGACTTAGTTTGGAATGAAATATTCTTGTCCAACAGAAGTCCCAGCAGCTGGTTCTATAGTGCATTTCTCCACATTTCCTGTGCTTTTGGACTGAGTTCTAGCAATGCCCTTGGAAGCTCTTCAAAAGCAGTCCAGCCCCTGAGGATGGCCAATGAGTTATGGAGTTATGGAGTGCTGGACTTGGGTGTCTTCTCACACTTTGTTCCCAGATAAATGCAAATCTATCCAATTTTGAAACCTGCTGATTTTTCTGAGCCAACAGAAAATGTTGCTCTTCTTTTAAATAGAAACAACTGTTTTGTGACAATGGAATCAGTATCTTCTTTGTAGTTTATAAAGTGGACACCGACTATTTTTGTTCAGTTGTCCATGTACTGAGACATCTGAAAGGTTGTCAGGGCCTCATTAAAACAATCTTCAGTCAGCCAAGGGGGGAGATGCAATAGAAGTACAGCATTTACTGTGCCAGAAGGTAGAACCTCACCTACACAGAGGCTACAGCTCGAAGAACTTTGTGTTCCACTTGTTACATAGGTTTCTTTAAAGAATAATGGTAATAATAAAATATTTAGATCCAAAGAGTGCTTGAAATTGCAACCTGTGGTCTGAAGCCTGAGCACTGATGGTGAGGCAGCTGAAACAAGATGGGATCTTAACTCCCCAGCTTTTTTCCCCACTGCTCCAGACATTTAGAAATATTTACAGCTGCTTTTCCCTTTCCTTCTTTCACTCATGATTTATTTTTTTTTTTTCTAAATGGAAAAAGATTATGTTTTTATAAAGATAAGCGTTTCTCTGGAGTAACCGCAGCTCAAGCGCCGCAGCCCTGTGCCAATCCTTCCACGCCAGAACACGACGCCGGCACTAGAGAGGAGCCAGCGCCTGTAAGAACCCAAGGGGCAAGCAGAGCTCCGGGTCTGTCCTGCCGGAGAGGGGCCGGCAGGACCCGAGCGCGCCCCGGTCCCGCGGGACAGCCCGGGCAGGGGGGCGGCAGCGACTTGCGGGCCCCGGCGGGCCGGGAGGGCGGGAGCAGAGGTGTGGGGCGGAGGAGGGAAGGCGGCGGCAGGGCGTCACGGGAGCCCGCGCCGCTATAAAAGGGCCGGGTGCGGCGGAGCGGCGCATCCCTCTCGCCCGCAGCCACAGCGGCAGGAGCAGCACCAGCATCGCGGCGGGACAGCATCAGATGGGCATGGGGACGGCGCTGGCGGCGCGGCTCGGCCTGGGGCTGCTGCTCCTTGCCCTCCTCCTTCCCACGCAGGTGAGCCCCAAGCGGCTCGGCGCTTTCCCCCCGCCGGCCCCAGGGTGAGACCCTCCCGCTCGGCGGCCGCCTCGGAGCGGCGGAGGGGCGGGCTTCTCCCGAGAGGAGCTCCCGCTCGTGTGCGCCATCCCGGAGCCCGCCGCGGCGCCCCGCGGGCGGCCGTGGGTGGCGGGCGGCTCCTCCGCCCCGGGCGGCGGCGGCGAGAGGAACGAGCCCGGGCAGCGCCGGCTGCGGACGGGGCGGGGATGGGCGCGGACGGGCGGCGGGGCGAGCCCGGAGCCCTGGGATGGCGGTGGCGGTGCCGTGGATTACCCCGGTCAAATCAAAAAAGATGAAGTTGGAGTTGGCCGCCTTTTTTTCCCCCCTGGGTTCCTGGAGGGAAAGCCGCGGAACCGCGGTGTGAGCGGCCGCTGAGCGCTCATCCCCCGCTGGTCGGAGGGAGAACGGTCCCTCCAAAGCCGAGAGAGCTCCGGGAAGGCACGAGTTTTGCAGCGGGACCCGGGTCTGGTCCTCCCCCCGCCCGAAGGTGCGGGGCTTTGGGGCTGGTCCTGAGCTCGGCTCTCGGCAGGAGTGCGAGGTTTGGGGGCTGGAAGCGAGGGCGCCAGCCTCTGGCTGCTGCGCTGGCCGAGCCGTGCCCTTGGCGCAAAGGTAATGATGCCGGAGCCATCCGCTTCTCCACAAGCGGCCAAGCCGAGCGGGACTCGCAGGTTCCGTATCGGTGTGGTGTTCCCAGAGACCACCTCTTCAAAAGGGTGACTAGCAGGGAATCAGAAAAATGAACAGCAGCGGCATTGCTGGATCGTGTTCCCTCCTCCTCTCCTCTTTGTTTGCAAGAAAGGGCATTATCCCTTCTCCTTTGTGCTCAGTGGAGTCTTGCCCTTGGCAGTGATTGAGAGAAGGATCAGACCCTTTGGGTTACCGGTATTTATCACATTCACGTTGAGAAAACGTCTGAGGTCCCATCTACTGTGATGCTGGGGAACTTGGACATAAGCCCATTCTCTTCCACCAAAAGAAAAGAAAAAATTAAGCAACTGGTTTTTTTTTGCTCAAAACCAAGAAAACTTAAAATATATATAACCAAGAGTGGAATGATGGTGGAGTCTTTGTACGAAGACTGAAAAAAATTCCAGGGCAGGCTGGGACTTGCCTTGTAGGTTATTAACTCAGCAATTCGCTATTGATCACTTTCAGGCTGGTTTTAACAGAAACTTCAACACAGCGATTTTTATCCTGCAGTCCTCAATTGCTTCCAGCACGGTGCCGATTGCCAAAAATGCTAAGTACCAGAAGCTTTACACCATTTTTATGTTTTTCTATTGTATGCTTTTTTTTAGTAGGAAATACCGAAAGAACGTGCTTATGCAGTTTTCTAATTAATTTAACGTAGACTTCATTGCTTCAATATTGAGGGATTGATTTTTTTCCCCTGCTAATCTATTTTCTCAGCAGCACTAGAAACATGAGAAAATAAGGACACCTTTTGTGGACAGAATTACTTACTAAACTAACTAACCTCTTTAAAAAAAGATATGGTTTTACTTGAGTTAAGTCTAAGAGCTTACCAGAATGCTCTGGTAGAGTTTTCTGCCATGGAGTTGAAGCCAAGCTTTCTGTATTATGCTCATTTTTGGGGATGCAATAATGTGATTCTTGCTCTTGTTTTTCATCCTTGTGTTTCACATGCTGTTTTTTTTCACAGGAATAAAAATACTTTAGGTTGTCTTTGAAAATTTTCCTGTGCATATGTAGGAAATAACTTGATATTGAGGTTGCACAGAGTGCAAGTTTTTGTTCTGTCCCTATAATGCAGAGTTATGAAGGGAAAAGGGTATTTTTTATTTTGCTTTCTGTCAGCATTTTAAAAATTTGCTAATATATGGTCTTTTCACTGCACTTTTTTTTTGTGTGTGTGTGTCTTCTAGAATGCCAGTAGGTTGTGATTTAATCAGTATGGTTTCATTGTTCTAACTTCTGCAGTTCAGTGCTACCACAGCAAGATAAGAGAGGCTGAAGTAGTAAATCCACTCACATTAAGCCCCACCATTGCTTCAAAGGAAGCCACAAACCAGCCCCAGAAACTGTATCAATACATTCTTGACTGTTGTTTCCTCATATTTTTGTTTGTGGCTTAGTCTGCAAAGGCAGACTGCAATTCACACAGTTGTTTGAAAGTCTTTCATATCGTAAGATCTGCCTTTACATAGCTCTACATTTTTTTTTTTCTTTTCTGAGGTTTTTTGAAACCTATGTGTCTTCTAATTTAGGGAAGGATTAAAGGATTTCCATAAAGTAATATCCATGTAAATACATTTAGAAAAATATTAGATGTATTTCTTTAACAAATCCCACACGTGCAATTCCGAATGTCTTTGTCCGTAAGTGCACAATGAAAGGCGTGAGCATTTGTATGTATCATTGACTGCTATGTCTGAGGGGGGCTACACACTGTTCACTGCTACTAATACGTATTCTGACTTTTAAAAAGAGACAATATAACCCTTTTTGTTACTTCCCCTCCTTTCCACATTCTAGATCTACTGTGGTCCCAATGGAACAAGTCCAACACCTTCAAACAATTCTTCAGCAAGTTCCACTTCTCTGTCAGCTGTCACAAATTCAGTGAACAATACCACCACTCACGGACATGGAAATTCTCTTCACTCAACCACAAGCCTTTTTTTCATTCTCTCCGTTTCTCTTCTGTATTTTTGCTGTTAAGAGACTCTGGCATGGAAATGGCTACTACTCCCCACCCCGTTTCCTGAGCCGCCTGAGATGGCTAGATCTCCAACCCAGCATGAGAAGAAATCAATCCAAACTCCACATCAAACCAGCTTGGTTCCACTCCATACTCAAATTAGTACCAGTCTGACCTAGAGAAACACTCAGTATTCTGACTTTCAAAGCTCACCAATGTGAAAAGATCAGCTTCAGCAAGGAGGTAAAATTATGAGCTCTTTCACCAAATGAGTTGGAATCTGAAAAACAAGATGGGAACAAAAAGAGACAGTACTGACAAACCAAATTTAAAGCTGAGAAGAAATACAGTATCTTATAATCAGGATGGATAATAATACTCCATGAAGAAAAAAGGCTAGAGAGTTTATCTACCATTTAGAATAAGGACTTCAAGAGTTTTTATGTTTTGTTTAAGTTCAGAAACATCAACAGGCTCACAGAATCTCTAGAAAACACAGAAAAGCTCAAATAATTGTTTCTTACACAGCCTGTGTGGTTATAACTTATGGGTATTAGGATGTATGAAAAAGAAACAACATCAGTGAAAAGGGTTTCTTCTAGATTTCATTTGTATTAAATTGTTACAAGGCTAAAATAGAATAACAAATTTTTTTGCAAGAATCCTCTTATTTAACCCCTGATTCCTAATGAAATGCTTAGCCAGGCAGGGCTAGTTTTGAAATAGCTAAAATCCCACCAGTTTTCATAAGAGTGGAATTATTTATGGTGGGGAATTTGAATTTGACATTTTATTTAAATTGTTTGTATATTAAACCATATGTGCCAGAGAAAGGAGGTGTGGAAACATTAGAAAAAGTACCAGGAGCTTTTTGTAAATGAAATTCAGAAAGAACAAACAAAAAAGTCAATGGATGTATGTCTCCTATTTCCTTTATTTCTCCTCCCAAGTTGTATAAGCTTTTTGCTCCTGGAACTTTCCTCAGTTATGAAGGATTTATGAAATCTTATGAGTAATGTTATAGTGTTGCTTTTTTTTTCTTTTTATTTTTTTTTCTTTTTGGCACAAGGTGAATAACTTACTGTTTTTTGAAGAGTTTTAATTGTGATAGTCTACTTTAAACCTGGGCTAATATTTGTGGTGGGGAGAAGGAATGGGGAGAGGAGAGCAAACCGCCAAAAAAAAAAAAAAGAAATTAAATGAACAGGTGTTTGGAATATGAAGACTGGAGTCTTGATTTAATCACTGAATTTAAAAATTACCTATGTAAATACTACTTTTTAAAAATTTTTTCTGAATCAAAATTGCTACACTTGCACAGATTGTTTCTGTATCATCCAACACTTTAGAAAATACTATCTGGTACTTGATCTTAGCAAGCTTTGTTGAGGAGGTTGAACTACCTTGATGATGATACCTTGTCAGAAAAAAATTAACTATGTTGATATGATCACATGTGAATGTACATGATCATACCACTGTCTGTAGATATTTATCTCAGTATAAGATCATGTCAAACATGAGTGGCTCTCTAATTTTTTTTTAATACACATCTGTCTTTCAGTTATATTACCACCAATTCACAGTATCATTCATATATTAGTAGCAAGCTAACACAAATTCATGTCAGTGAGCGTACATGGACAATTCCTTATGCTTATCATTTGTATCCAGTAAAGTGTTAATGATTGTATTTTGTGTTTGTGTAATAATGCTTTGATTTATTAGCTACTGATTTTCATGGAAAAAACCTGTAAATAAAACAGTGGGCAGGCAATGCATTCTAGATGCACTTCCAGACACTTCTACAAAAACTTGTACCTTGCCTGTGTTAAGTGAATGAACTGTTAAGCAAGATGGTATATGTGATTAAAAACCTCAAGGTCTAGAAATGCTGAAGTGTAATTAGTTTTATTTCTCTGGAAGGTTTTGTGCCACTGGGAGTCTGGATTTCACTTTGAAAACAGGGAGTGAGATTTGGTTAGCCTCTCTAGTAACTGCAGTAAGTTTTCCATGTTAATTACAGACTCTTCCCTTTCAAAGCATGACCGTGTGTTCATGTTAGACAAACAGTGATTAGACAGAGTTTTCTTTATTTCTTTTGGTGGCAATGAGCAGTTTTCCTTACGATGGCTAAAGCTGTTTCTCAGCTACTGGTTATCAAGCAATGTGAATTAACTGCTTAAGGTTCCTGCCTCCCACAGACTACATTAATACAGTAGGTATATCGCAATAATACAAGTTGAATCATGCTTGACGAAGGATAGAGACTGAAAGAGGTAGGAATTTATGCAAAAATTGCTTTAAAGCAAAAATTAACCGGATGAGCATTCAGTAACAAATAGTTGCAGTTCCTGACATTCCAAAACCTTGTCTGTGTTGTTTTCCAGGTATGTTCCTTTTTAATTCTCCTTAAAGGCCCAAGGTTGTTCTCTGTGGTTATCTTCACTCCCTACATGTGGAGAAACACTTTCACAAGTGCCTAAGCACTTAGGCATGCTTAGGCTGCGTTTGTCAGTGGGAAAGAGGCCCCTGGAGAGGCCTCCCAAGGCTGCGCAGGGAATGCGGAGTGGCAGCCCTTTGCTCCTGCTCCTTTGCTTTTCCAGTAGGCTGAGCAAACCAAGGAGCAGGATAAGTTTATCAAAGCTGGCTCTTTAGCTAAGTCTTGGAACGTGCAGGGAGTATCAAAGCACATTGTTCCTTTGTTTAGCTTTTCTCCAAATGCTCCAGGAGAAAGCAGGAAGATAAACCAAACAACCTGGCTGAGTATCTTTTTTAAAAAAACATTAAACTAAAAATAACCTCTCTCCAAAGACAGGCAGACGAGGAAAAAGGCTGCAACAATGGGTTTTAATTCTATGCTATGTCAGCACAACAAAAGAAGTAAAGGAATGTGTTGGAAGATTTTGCTAAATAATCAGACATAATGGGATGCTTGGCTGAATTGGTGCCATGCTTTTTTCAAAATTTTAATTTAAAAAAAATTTATTTGAGAAATAGAGCCACATTGCTCTTTAAGAGCATTTAAACTATTTAAATTCTCTTGAGTTTTAGAGTTTTTCACCAGAGCAGATGAGTGATTTAGAAAAATGATCTGGTGGCCTTTGTTCTGTTCCATTCCATCACAGGACAATGGGATCAGTGATGAAGAAATCCACCCAGTGAAAGAGGATGTGATGGATGTGTTTAACAAAGCGGGGAGGGCAGGAGGGGAGGGAGCACAGCGGAGCCTACGCACTTCACAACTATTTCATTTTTTGAAATGACACCTACAATAACTAGAGCCAGCTCTTACCTATGGCTCTCACTTCCAGAGATCTGTCCAGCTGAAGTGTGTCTGGGTAGTGTATATTGCAGTGACTCTGAAACAATACTGCTCTGTCTGATGCATGGCGCTGCTTTCACTGTAAACGTACGCTAGCCACATCAGTCCTGAATAAAATATAGTGTTATTATTTGAATGGAAATGCCTAAAATGAGCACTTACAGTTTGTGTGCAGCTTACTATTCCTTCCTTCTCAACGTCATACTCTGAATAGCCCTTAAATTTTTCCAAATTGCACTTTTCAGCTAGTTTAGAAATCCACAGGGACTTTGAATGAACAACTTCCATTCAGCAAAAATCTCTACAAGGTGAAGTATTTTGGGCCAGATCCAACACCACTGCTAGTGGCCTCCTTGTTTTCTGCAAGACACAGCTCTGTCCCCTGAGCCTTTCTCCACACAAGAGCAGCGTACAGGCAATGCTGTGTTGTACCAAGGGTAGTCCCCTGTCCACGTGGGGATGGAACATTGTTAGTGTCTCAGTAAATGAACTCAGGATTATTTTGACAAGCCATTCCCAACTCTTAGCCAAATCCACCAAATTAGGGTTTGCCTGTACAATGCAAGTACTCTCGAGCTAGCTGGAGACTGCAGCCTGCTCTCTAACGTTATTAGTACATTGTTTAATATGGACTAATTTCTCCCCAGAGTCGTTCTTATGCAGCCTGTTTGCCTCTGGAAGGGCTCATGGGAACAAACACTTGCAGGGCTGGGCTCTTTGTCACACATCTTTCCAAGTCAGCATTTCCCTGGAGTCAGGTTACACCAGGCTCTGCAGTGAGCTCACAATAACACCTTGTATCTGAAACTGAGGATGGATGTGAATGTGCTTGTATTAGAGGCAGTTCAGAGTGATTTGCATTTTGTGTGCATTCAGGCTTATAGAGGTTTGATTTCCCATACATGACTGAAATGATTTAGGTAGCAGACTTTATCACCCAGCATCTTTATTGTAATGGATACAGTTGGGAACGTTTCTTGTTTTTGCATTAAAGATAACTTTGAAACAGGAGCTGTCAGCTCTGCCTCATAGCAGCACAAAGCTCTTCATTCTAGAACACACATTATGTTTGATGCACTGTAGAGGTCTACTGAGCCCCGACAGATGAAGGGGCTGGTTATTTTAAATCCATCAGTTTATCTACAGCAGCTTGAAGAGCATCACTAGGCTTTCTGCAATACGTGCTTTGAGATGTGGTCTTTTCATCATTATGCAGTAGCCTCAGGAAAGATACTTGATCCTTACTTTGGTTATCAGCCTTCAGTTTTCCAAGTGAAACCCTCAGCATCCTGCTCATGAATGCATAATTGCTCTGGTTTAGACTTCATCAAAATGGCCAGAATGAATGACCTGGAGCTGAAGAAAAAACCTGATAGATTCTTTACTGCCCAATCAAAATCCTAAGCTAGCAGAATCTCATCTGTGAAGGGTCGTTCAATTCTCTCTTGAATCCAGCAGTACTCCCTGCAATGTATGTGCTACAAATACATGAATAAAACATTTTCAGGCTTTTCAGAAGTGAAACGAGACTCTCTCTTTTATGCTTTCAGCTTAGCAGGAGCTATGCTTTAACAACTGATGGGTGTACAATATAAAATTTGAGCACACAGCAGAATTAAATCGTGGTAGCTTGGTTTTGCTGCATAAACTGAATGATCACATTCCACCAAAATCTCCCTTGAATGACCTAGCGTGAAAAGTATTCTTTATGTGGCACAAATTATTAAAGGAAGCAACGCCTCTGTAAAGCAATTGTTCTGTTTCCCGCTTTTCAACCACTCTCACTGAAAGCACGGCGTGGACTTTTTTCAGATCGCTTAGTGTGCACAAACTGGACTTAAAGTCTGTGTTCATTATGCTGAAATATGTAAACTTCATGTGACAAAAACAGTGTATTCACTGAGTTGTATAATATGCAGATGGTTTTTGAGGCGTAAGACTGAACCTTGAGTTCAGGGGGATATATACACCTGAGTACAATAACAAATACATATTGTGTGATTGCTTGGACTAGTAGGATTCAAAACTGAGCACATACAGCTCATGATAGCAATTAAAACCATAATAGCACAATTTAAAAAACCCATAAAAATTAAAAAATATTAAAATTAACATTAAAAACATTAAAAGCATGTTGTGAGAACCTTCCTTGCTTTAGGAAGCAGGAAAAATTTTCTCTGAAAGCAGATTATCTGGTAGCTGTTCAGTTATGAAGACAGTCTGAAGCATGTTCGTAGAATGAAAATGGACTTCACTGAATCACAAAACATGATATAGAATATAGATTTGATGGAGTCTTTGCTCAAACATGGCAGTTTCAGTGTTTTAGTGCTTAAGTATAAAGAAGTTTTTTGAACAATGAAGAAGAAAAGTCTTTTGGCAGAGCTACAAAGAAGAAGGCATCATTATTCTGAGACAAGACAATTGCATTTGCTGTCATGCATCTGCTATCTATATTTTTAAAATATGTTTTCTAAAACTTGCTGGCATTTTGTGTCTTTTCATGTGTCCAACAGTATCTTCAACTTAATTTTTTAAGGCTGTTGTCACTACTCTGATTTTGTTGGCTTTTCTGTTTCAGGAAACTACAAAATTACATGCAACACAGCAATTTTTTCTCATTGGAATTACCTCCATTCCAAAATTCTCAGGCTTCTGTAAGGTGTATCCTCTTGCAAAGTGCCACCAGTAAATGAGCCAACCTGAAGCACTACCGGGGTGACAGACGGGATATTTTCTTCCCTGCTAATTTGTGTTTTTACTGAAATTAAAATATCAAAAGAACACACAGCTATTTTCAGAACACAAACTCCGCAGTAATTTAGCCCTGTTCATCTGGCACTGACCTGAGGCCTCTGACACAGTTTTATAAGGAAAAGCACATTGCCAGCGAGGTGGAGGAACAGGATGGGAGGTAAAGCAGCCACACGTACTCCTGTGACCTTACTGAGACGTCAGCTTTGATCCCAAAATGTGTGATCCATTCCACTAGGGATTTGGTGGATTTTGCTAGGCAGCTGATGGGGGTCTGTGACTTTAATTAGTATTTCAATGTGTTTACGTTTAGTGGGTCTGTTCTTACTCAGCAGTGCAGGCTGACATTGTTCAGCTTCTGCTTCATTCTTTCTCCTTTCCCTCCAGTCTGGTTTGAAGAGTTCCTCAGAGCAGAGGCAGACTGTGCTGAGAGCTTGCAGAGCTCCTGGTAGGCATCAGCCACTCGTCAGCAGGTTTTACACCATTTTCTGTAACAGCAGTAATTAAAGCCCAGGTCTTCAAAGGTAATTTGGTGCCTGACTTGAATTCCTGTTAAGATCAGTGTCCTTGTGGGCTGTAGTTTGATGGCCTTCTGTGTAAAATCCGTGTGTAATGCTGAAAGCTCTTATGGACCTCATGGGATCGCTGCTTATTTTTCTCTTCTGTTTTGTGTGCCTGTTTCTTTTGCTTGCTGTACTCTAGAACCCCTGCTTGCTGTGGCAGAAGGAGTATCTGCAAATACTGTTCCACCAAGGTGGTGTCTTTCACCCGCTGCAGCTGGGCAGGGGGGAATTCCATGAGGTCAGAGCTGCT